GGGAAGCCGTCCACACTGAGAGAAGGTAGGGCTGTAGCAGAAGATGCTTTGGCTTTATCAACGTCTGCGCTGTGGGTCCTGTGCTCTTTCACTTACCACCCCACTGCCTAAACCTGTTTGGCACAAGATCGCCATCCTCAGGGTCGTGGGGGAAACATCCGTGGCACCCCTGTGGCACAGTGAGGGTATCAATTCACACCCTGACTTACGCCAGGACACCTGAAACCATACGACCATTGCCACGACAGAGGCTCCAACCCTAATGATGCTGATTGGAGACTCTCTGGAAGAAAAAACGGAGAAAGATGAACAGGGTAAAAAGACACTCCCTAACCCAAGCATATATCCAGGACCAAACAAACCCAGGAAAAGGAGGAATGGAAGAAAGAAAACTGGATACAGGAAGAGGAACACCCCCAAATTAATTCGACATAGGTTCACAATTTGACCCAACTGAAAATCCAAAATTCACAGGGGCGCCTGGGTGGTTCGGATGCTTAGGCGTCCGACTTCGGCTCCAGCCGTGATCCCGGGGACCTGGGATTGAGCCCCATGAGAGGCTCCCTGCTTGGAGGGGAGTCAGTCGGCTTCTCCCTCTGCCTCTGCCTGCAGCTCCCCCTGGTTCCTGCTCTTTCACACCTGCTTGCTGTCTCTCTCTCAAATGAATGAATAAACCGTAAAAAAAAAAAAAAAAAAAAAAAAAAATCCAAATTTACTAAGATAACTTATATGGCAAAAGATAAAAGGAGGTCAACTGGCTTTTGGCCCTCTAAAACATAGGTTCTGAATTAACTTTAATGTCTGCTAAGATGTACCAGTTGGGTAACCTTCATGGACTCGATACCAGGGCTCCAATTATGGTTGTACCTAGTAAAATAACCGTATTTTCTAGCTTCTGTATTTAATGCTTTGACATCTCAGACTTGCTGACTTTGGAGGGACTGTCCCTGGCAGGCGTAGTTAATTCTTAGAAAAAGTCCACAACTGGCCTGGGAGCATACCTTTCACATCCAAGCCAACCGGTACAGAACCCTTACCCCCAACCACCTCCTCTTAAGCAGCTCTGGGCCACTATGGCCTCCCTGATCACCACAAGGGCGGGGACAGACTACTGCAGGCACCACTATGGCCTGGAGCCCCCTGAAATTACTCAAACTAGCCAGTCTTAAATGCGCTTATCCTGCCTCACCTGTCCCTTCCCATGGAAACCACAATAAAGGGTCTTGCCCACATTTTCCCTTCACTCCCTCTGTCTCCTGACCAATCCTGGTGCTTCCGCAGGTGGCCCTCCATCGCTCTCAGAACCTCCTTTCTTGGGGTCTGTAAATCTACAAAACTTCTTCCATTGTGACAGTTACTTCTATATCTTCCTAACTTATCATACCTGATTAAAATAAATCCTGGTCCCCTTAAAACCTCTGAGACACCTAGGGCCACCTGGGTCGCTCAGTGGGCTACGCTTTCTGCTCAGGTCATGATCTCAGGGTCATAGGATCCAGCTCCATGTTAGGCTCCGTGCTAAGGGTGGAGTCAGCTTGGGAATCGCTCACTCGGCCCTTCCCTCCGCCCGCCCCACCCCCCCAACTGGGCTCGGGCACTAGGTATCTCTCTCTTTAAAATAAAGAAATAAAATCTTTAGAAAAACCACAAGGGAGCCCAACAAATTTAAGGATGGGGAATATTTTGCTAATATAGATTTGGCCAGTATGTTCTGTTCCATGCGTATTTCAACATCCTCTCGGTCAAATGTGCCTTGACTTTGAAGGGGACACATTTTACCTTGTTAAGCACAGGGCACCCAAACCTCTCTGCTATCACAGGCATCTTTGTGGGCAGGATCTTACTGCACCCGTCCTTCTCCAGGGACATAGGTATGACATCACATTTACGACTACCTACTGTGAGGACATTTGTTTGACACACTTGTTAAGGACATACAGGTGCAGGGGCGACTGAGTGGCTCAGTCCATTACGCGTCTGCCTTCGGCTCAGGTCATGAACCCCGGGTCCTGGGAACAAGCCCCGCATCAGGCTCCCTGCTCACTGGGAAGCCTGCTTCTCCCTCTCCCTCTGCCCCTACCAGCCCCTTGTGCTCTCACTCTCGTGCTCTTTCAAGTAACCAAATAAAATCCTTACAAACAAGGAAGGACATACAAGTCCAAAGTCTGTCAGTATTTTTTTTTTTTTTTTTTTTTTTGGTTCTAGAGGCAACATATTCCTTGTTGATAAATTTTACATAAGCCCATTTAGGCTGCTACTTGTCAGTGAGCCCACGCTGGGTGGGGCTCCCCTCAACAAAAGGCTCTAGGAACTGTCCAAAACAACTGTGAGGGGGCGACTGGCTGGCTCAGTTGGTGAAGCGTCGGCCTTTGGCTCAGGTCATGATCTCAGGGTCCTGAGATCCAGCCTGGCAGGGGACTCCCTGTTCAGTGGGGAGCCTGCTTCTTCTCCCACTCCCTTTGACCTCCTCCTCCAGCTCCAACTGTCTCTCAAATACATAAATAAAATCTTAAAAAAAAAAAAAAAAATCACCCGTTAGTGCCCTAAGTAAAAAGGCTTTAGCAACTACCTCTCCAGCTTCCTGGAGTCACTGGAATCGTTCCATGGACTCCCAATGCAAGAAATGGCCCTCCTTGGCCCTGGGTTATAGACCATGAAAGCAGCAATTGCTGACCATGCACTGGGCTCTCCTGGAAACGGAGTCTCTCACAGACTCTGAGCCTTCATATCCCGCTGTCTGCTCTTCCTCGGGTCATGATACCCCCACCAGCTTAATGTCGATGCCCAGGCCTTCTTGCTACAGGCTGAAGCCAAAGTCTGCATATCCAACCTGCAGGTGGGGGTGGCTGCTTCTATCCACAGTCCATTGCCAGATTCCATGCTGCTGGAGGACGTCAGCCTTTCCTTCTACCCATTGGCTACCTAAGGATTCCCTTGGGATCAACTGAGTGACCATCAATGACCGTTGATACATTTTGGTTTTGAAGACCAACTCCCCCTCTTGTTCACGTGACAATTCCACTTCCTAGAGAAGCACCTGTCCTACTCCTTAAAAGTCTCAGTCCCAGGTTGAAATTCATGTCTAGATATCAGAGTCCACTGTGATGGAAAGCCTGAGATTAAGATTCAATAGGAAGTGTTGTCTTAGTATCAGGGAACATCAGAGGGCCTCCAATGGCCTCGGCCTCACTCAAAGTTCCCTTCCCCCTCTGCTCCCACAGATCAGGTCTCCTGGCCAAACGACCTTCTTTATCCCAGGGACCAGGCACAGTTTCTCCCCAAGGAGTAAGGTCCATTTCCCTGACAGCGTGTGCAATTATCCAGCAAGCCAGTCATGCCCTCCTGCAGGAAGTAGGGCTCACCGTCACTCTCTTGTTACTACAAGGTCTGCCCCCGCCCCAAAGCCCTTCTTCATTCTGCTCCCAGGTAAAACCCCCTTGTGGCCCTGCATGGTGTGGGCCACGAGTAGACATGGGTAATAAATTAGTGTCGAGCTCATCTGTTCAGCATCCGGACATCCCATAACTTTAGGGTGGGAATCACTCCCTTTACCAACGGGTGAAGAGGAGAAAAATGAAATCCTTCTGCTTTGTACCTTTGGCAAGGCACAACGATGAGGTTCATGGACTTGAAGTTCTTTGGATAAGAATCTATTGGGGGCTTGTAAGAATTCCCTGCGGCTAAAGGGCAGCCTGTATGTGAATGATGAGCAGGAGGGAAGGCTGCAAAAGCAAGGGCTTGGATGGTCTCCTAAAGGTCGAACTCCAAGCAATGAGGGAACCCACAAATAATGACAGCAGGGAAGTGACATCAGATTTTCGTCTCAGTTCGCCCTGACAGCAGCATGGAGAATGGATTCAAAGGAGGCCGAGAGTGGAACCAGCAAGATCAGTAAGCAGTCCACTGCACTAGTCTGTGCAAGAGACAGGAATGGGTGAACCAGAGCACTGGCAACAGAAAGGGAGGGAAGGATTTAAGATATTTGGCAGGCTGAAGATACAGCACAATGGAAAATTGATGGAATGAGAACTTTCAAGAAGTCTGAATGGGAGGCGCCTGGGTGGCTCAGTCAGTTTAGCGTCTGCCTTTGGTTCAGGTCATGATCTCAGTGACCCGGGAATCAAGCACCACATCAGGCTCCCTGCTCAGCAAGGGGCCTGCTTCTCCTTCGCCCTCTGCCACCCGCCCTGCCTGTGCTCTCCTGCTCTGTCAAATAAATAAATAAAATCGTTAAAAAAAAAAAAAAAAAAAGAAGAAGAAGAAAAGAAGTCTGAGTGGATGGTTTCCAGAGTATAGTGGAGTAATGAGCCTGGAACTGCAAATGAAGATTTGGAGTGGCTTTTGAGGAAATGAACAAGGGAGTTGACCATGGACATTTGAAGTAAAAATCGATTAAATACTGATCAGTAGGAGCTAGTTCAGTAATTTAGGGTATATCCACAAAGGCCTGCATTTCCTTTTAAAGAATGAATTGGAATTCATTCACATTTGTAAAGATCTCGAAGGCAGAGTGATTTTTTTTTTTTTTAAAAAGCAAGTCATAGAATACTATACGCCCAAAAAGACAAATATACATATATTTCTAAAGGCCTGAGATAAATCAGGTTACCCATGAAGTAGATTCCCAGGCAACATAAAATGAAATGGAAAAAACAATTAAAAATAAAAAAGGAGAAAGAGAAATGGGACATAACTGGGAAAATCAAACTCGCATTTTTTAAAAAAATGTATTCATCTTAAACTTTCATGCTATACACCCAGTTTCTCCAACAAGGCGTGGGTGCTCATGTATTTGATAAGTTGGGAACATTAAAACGAGTGGATGTTTTCCTTACCAAAGGTATATGTGGATACGTGCTCCTTATGAAAACATCAAAGCACTACAAACAATACTGGAAGTACCATTGACCACAGCCCCCAACCCCACCAGTGTCTACTCTCATAAGAAATACCCACCATTTTCAGTTTGGTGAATACCTCTGCAGGTATTAAAAGATGCCTTTTTTTGTTAACTCATAAAAGAATATTTTTATTAAGCTGAAAGCAAGACTGCAAATATATTACGTTTTGCAAAAGGACATTTTGGGATTAGGTAAACACACAGAGTGACTTGGGGTCTTCCGAGCACTGTCTCATCTCTGGCTTGAGAATCCTCTATTTCTTTGAGAGGCCTTTGACCGCCATTCCAACCTTCTCGGCAGGTGACAGTATTTGGGGTGCGTACGTGGGCAGAGCATCAGTGACGGCATTTAGAAGAAGGTGCTCCGATCCATCCGCTTCCGGTCCAGGAGGGGTAATAAGAGACACAGTTGTGGTGCGGGGCTTCACATCTTTTTTCCGGGATGTGGATGCTAGGGTAGTGTTCAGACGTGCTGGGCCTTGTTTCATAGCCAGTTTTCCCCTTCCTCCGGAATCTGGGGGCTACACGTCATGAGCAGAGGGCTTTGGTGGTGGCAAAGCTGAATGAGATTCCGCTTCTAGAAACTGGACGAAAAGCCCTGAAAAAGAATTCTTGGCCATAGGTCGGTGATTTGGCTTCACACGTGTGTTGGGGGCGCTTTTGGATCCAGGCCCCCGACTCATCCAGCTGGTACCACCACCTGGCCCTTCACTGAACAGCTGCCGCATCTGGTCTTCTCGGATCCCCAGCATGCTTCCCATCAACCTTAAGGCTTCCTGCCGTTCAGCGTCAGGGGCTTGGAAAGATCCCAGGAAGAGTCTCCTTAGTAGGGTTTTGTCCACCATTCCTTCGGACTTACTGACTAAGTTCATCAGTTTCTTCTGTGTGTCCTCCAGGATTTCCTGCTGGACCTCATTCTGTTTCTGGAATTCTTGGAGTTGGTCTTCCTTCAGCTCCAAGTCAGCATTTGTTTTATGTAATCGTCCCTGCAATGACTTCAGTTTTCCTTCGAGGCTGTCTGCCTTTTCCATCCATTCGGCGAGTTCCAACTTGAGGTCAGCTAGGATGTGACCATACTGCCTTCCTTCTTCCTGCGAGGCAGCAAGCTGGAGCGCGGTGTCCTCCTTCTGCTGGGTCACCACGTGCAGTTGCTCCTGCAGCGACTCTACCTGCAGACTGGCTCCTCGGCTGGCATTTTCCATGGCAGTGGAAGACAAAACGAGTCTTCCCTGCAAGACCGTCACTTCCTTCCTGAGTTGAGCCACTTTGTCTTCTGAGGCCAGAGCTTCCCGGCGATGACCGTCTTCGGCTTCTAGAGCGAGGTGTCGCCGTCTCTCCAGCTCCTGGGTTAGGCGTAATTCGCTCTCACGTAAATGGCGAACCTCCTTCTGGAGGGCACAGGTTTCCATTTGTTTCTGTGTCAGGGCCAACAGGACTTCATCTCTCCCCTGTTGGCACAGAACTGTCTTTCCCTGCATTGATGGAACTGCACTGACCGGCCGGTTCAATACCCCGGTCTCGTGCTCTTCTCTCTCTTGCGATAGTTGCTCCAAAGCAAGTGCCTTCTCTTTCATCGCAGCACCCTGGGATTCCTCCTCTCTCCGCATCACTGAAAGCAGCCTATCTGTCTCTTGCAGTGCCTCATCTCCCACTGCCTTTTCTCGAGAGTTTTCCTCGACTTTCGCATTTTCCTCTCTCGGTTGACACACAACCATTTCCAACTCTGCTATTCTCTCCTTCAGATTGCTGACCGTCTGCCTCAAAAGTTCATTTTCACTCACTTGGCTACGGAAGTTCTCCTGCAAAGAAAGCAAGTCCTCACTTTTCGCTTGGATTCGGAGCTCCTGATCCCGAATGAAGTTTTGTAGAACGGCCTGTTTCTCCTTCAGCTGCTCGATGTCGGAATCCCTGTGTTCCTGTTCTGGGCCTTCTCCTTCCCACGTGGCAGCCACTGAATCAGTCCATCTCTGCTTATCTTCCTGGAGGGTTCGAATCATCCTATCTTTTTCTTGCATTGATTTTCTCAGCTCTTCTACCTCCACTTGGAGCAACTCAGAAGCCTCACCCACTCTGTCAGATTTCACGGGCTCCAGAGAGTCCGCTGACTCTGAGCAGTCGGGGGAGGGCTCGAGGAAAATCACGTCCAGTTTCCCTAGAAGGAGATCCTTGGCATTGCAAAGCTCCCCGATGCTGAGCTGAATTTGTGCCAGTTCCTTCTCTAAATGTTGTAATTTTATTTCATTGCCTTTGTACGTCTGCATCAGGTCACTAGAGGTCGTCGGTAGTTCAGAATCCTTCTCGCTGCTGGTGAAAGCCCGCGCCTGGAGTTGTGCCAGCTCTCTCTCAAGCTGGGGTGACTCACGCTTCATATTTTGGACTGTGGTCATCACCTGCTGTTTCCACTCTTCCATGATCTTCACTCGCTGTTTTAATGTGTCCCGTTCCTGTAGAAGCTGCTTGAACTGATCCATATGAACGCCTCGAACCTCATTACCAGGGCTGGAGGGTTGCAGGAGTGTCAATAAAGTCTGACATTTCTGACTTAACGCATCCACTTCGAGGTCTTTTTCTCGAACGATGTGTGATAAATTCTGAATCGTTTCTCTAAACATCTCCTGACCACTACTGTCCATTCTAGTGGACAGTTTTTGATTTTCCTCTTGCATCCGCCGGAGGTCTGCTTCTGTGGCAGCCATCCTATCCGCCATTTTGTCATACTCTGTCCTCAGATTGCTGTTCTCCCTCGTTTTCTCATTTAAGACCGCCAAGACCTGTTCGCTTTTCCAAGCGTACTCTTGCAATTGCCGCTGAAGTCGCTCCACGTCCCCGTTCTGGCTGTGAGAAGCCGCAGAGATCCTGCTGGAAAGACCCTGAATCTCCAAGTCTTTCTGCTGGATAATCTGAGTTAGTTTACCAATCTCCTCTTTGGAGAGCCGATCCATCTGTTCCGTCAGTCGGATGTTCTGTTCAGTTAGAAGCTTCATCTCCAGTTCGTGTTCTTTCATTCCTAGGACTGATCTTTGAGTTTCGGCTTCACGTGAATCAAGCTTTTCACTTGCATTTTGTCTGGGAAGAGGCTGACTGGTTGGGACTTCCACATCATCACAGTCTTCTGTCGGAATGTGCTGGCTTTTGTCAGGCAACCGGGCTTTCATTTGTTCTATCGTGTCCTGCAAATGCTGAATCTCCTCGTCTTTCGCTGAAAGGAGCTGAGCGTGTTCAATATTCATCTGCTCCTGCCGGTATTGGAGCTGCTCCACTTTCTGCTTCTGCTCTTGTAAAGAATGAAGCAGTCCTATCTTCCCCTGCTGCTGGTTGTGAATGATCTTCTGCTGCTCTCTGATTTCCTCCTCGAGATCATCCTTTAACTCCTGGAGTTGAAACACCTCACACTCCAGTTCTACGATCTCGTCTAGGATTTTAGGGTCGAGCGCAGGAACAGAGCGACTCTGTTGTCCTAGGCTCTCCAGTTCTTCTCTCAGATGAGGATTTTCGCCTGTCACGGATGGGAGACACCTGTCTTTGTCCTCCACGGATGGCTGGGAAATGTCATTACTTCTGAAGGTTTGGGTAGACTGACCGAATTCCTCCTGAAGCTCTGGACTTCCTGTAAGTTCTTCAATATACATCTCTTTCTCTTTAACGAGTTGTGTCAATCGCTTCTGCTCCTCCAGAGCAGAGGACAGCATTTCCTTCGTTTCTGTATGGTCGGCGTCCATCTGCTCGATCCTCTTTTTGAGGTGTACTATTTCCAGGTCTTTCTCTTGACTGTGTTGAATGCAATGCACATGCTCTAAAGGGGACAATTCTTTGATAGTTTGCTCATCCTTGTTTGTTTCCTCCAACAGCTTCTTTTCCGCCCGAGCCAATTTTGCTATTAACCGTCCTTTTTCTATTTTTAAAGCCCTCACAGCAGTGTTGTTTTCCAGAGAATCCTCGTTGTTCCGGAGAATAGATTCTTCCAGCTGATGTCTTACATCCTGGAGCGCCAAAACCAACTTTTGGTTTTCTGCTCTGAGATCAGAAGCAACGTTGTTTAAACGGTCATTCAGCCGCTCCATTTCTGCAAGTTGTTGCTTCAACCTTCTAAGCTCAGTTTCCCTTTCTTGAAGTAAGTCATCTTTCCCATGACTGGCAGACTCTTGATGTTGCAGGTCTTCTATCCGTCTTTCATACTCGAGGAGTTGTTTGCGGTGCCTGTCAGTGATGTCGGCCAGTTTTTCTTGATGGACACTGTGCAGTATCGCAACTCCGAGTTGATGTTCCTCGATCTCCCTCATCCGCCTCTCTTCTAGGTCCCTGATGGTGCTCTTCAGTTTCCAGATGGCATTGGAGTCTGAGCTATTCGGTCCCTTGGACAAATGTTTCCAAAGTGTAAGATCAGCCTCCAGTCTTTGGATCTCATTGAGGAGTCTATTGATTTCTGTCTGAGATGATATGACATCACCAAAGTCCATGGTGAGATCCGAGTTGGAGCCGGTCAAGGAAGTCTCACTGCCATCCACTCCTCCCTGGGAATGGCCTAGGCCAGAGCCCAGGCCACCAACCCAGGAGCACATCTTCGCGGGTCATATAACTGTCGCGGTCCGCTGTGGAAAAGCGTCCAGCGCAGTCGGACTACCCCGCCAAGTGTCCCAGAACGCCTGCTTGCGCCAGGCTAAGAATCAGAAGACAACAGGCGTTTCTAGGCAACGCCTGCGCGGGCCCGGCACGCGCCTCCCCTGCGCAGGCCACGTTGCTAGGAAAGCCCGAGACCTTGGGCCTTCCCAGGGCCGACTCTGGCCACCGGTCCCGGTCCCAGACGCTCAGCCCCACGACTTCCCACGCAGGGCTGGGCCCCTTCCCCTGTTCCCCCTGCTTCCTGGCTGTCCTGGGTGGGCCCCTAGCGAGTGCTCCTGCCTGACTGCCCCCAGGTGCCCGCCCACAGAAAATGCATCTGGCCCTGGACTTTCCCCCAGGAAATGCATGCAATGCATGCAATGCATGCAATGCATCCATTCACCTAGGAGAGCAGATCCTAGGTGCATTTGACAAATATCTACACCTGCGCAGAGGCACGGCCCTCAAGGAGACTTTGGGCATTTCCAGCCTCCAGAGGCTCCAGAGTGTTCCGTCCTTCCGTGCCCTGCCAGCTCTGCGGGGACAGTGCGTCCCACACCGGGGTTTGGCGGTTCACCGGTGGCTCCGTGCGCTGCGCGCATCCGCTGCCTCGCGGAGGTGTGCGGCTGGACCCGGCAGGGGGTCGCGGGCGGCGGTGGCGGTGCCCGAGAGGGGGCCTCCGGGCCCTGCACAGGGCGGCCCCGGGGTTCCCGCCCTGGGTGGAGGACGGGCTGGGTACCGCGTCCCGGGTCTGGCCTCCCAAGGCCCCGACCTGCCGCGCCACTGGATGAGAGGCGGCGAGGGGGGGGCGCCGGGCCCACAGCCGCTTCCACTGCCGCCTCGGGTGGACATGAAGCGACGTCGGCCCCCCTCCCCCCGGGCGATTCCTCGAGCTGCCCGGCCCTGGCCGTGCCGGCCCCCGCCGCCGCCGCCAGCAAGAAGCAATCCAGCTGCATGAAGCAGCTGACCAACCAGACCGTGGGCAGGCGAGCGCGTCGATCCGGATCGGCAGGAGCCCAGACCAGGCTCGGGCGCGGGAGGGCCGGCTGCTCTCCTGGTCGCGCGCTCTGTCCCTTGCCGCCGCCCCACATCAGGCCTCGGGGTCTGGGCCTGGGGCTGCGCCACGCCAAGACCTGGAGCCCGGCTCGGTGCCGCTGCCCGAGCCCCTGGGGAGCAGCTGGGTGGGTCGGCTGTCCCCGTCGCCCTCTGTCCAGGCCCCACCCAGCATCGCCCTGGGCGCACTGGACCCGAGCCTTCCCCTGCCCTCCCCCGGGCTTTGCCCTGGCTGAAAACTCCGGGAACCAGTGAGCCCCAGGCCGAGCGGACGCTGTGCTCTGCGGGCGATGGCCTCAGGCTTTCCGGGTCGCCCCGCCGCTGCAGACCCTCCACCTCCCAGTGCCTCATGGCACTAAATAAGTAAGGGGCCATCAGAGCCCATCGGATCCGCCTACGAGGTTCGGGCGTCCATCCAGGCACTGTAGAGGTGCCGCTGTCTCCAAAGCCGGGCCCCTGTGGACCGGACTGCCCAAGACCTTGACATTGAGAAATTGGGAACTGCGAGGAAAGAATTGTGGAAACGCCTTGGGACGACTTTTAGTTTAATTTTGAATAGCTTTTGAAAAAGCCTTTCTCCCTTTGGATTTGGGAGCCGATTCTTCTCCAGGTTTCTTTGGGGCTGCTTTAATGCTTGACAGGAAACATGATCGATTATGAAATGACAGAACAGACCGGAATTGGTAGACCATCAGGCTGCTGCAACAGGAACGACGGGTGGTTCTGAGAGCTCCTGCAGGTGACTGTCATGTGCCCCGTTATCTAGGGCACATCTTTCAACGTCTTTGGGGCAGGTGGCTGTACTGGACCTACTCTTTAGGCTGGCAGACATATGAAAGTGTGAGTTTTCCACAGCTTTTGCTTCTTTTTTTCCCCAATAGTGGGGTCAAAAGGGGAGTTCAGTCTGACCAAAGCACGTGTGTGCATGGCACGTCCATCCTGTGTGTTCTCCATTCATAGAGCATTGCAGGGCCACGTGCTCGTCCCAAGATCGAGGACCTTGTGAGCAACCCCACAGTGAGGTTCGGTGGTGCTGTGCGGCTTTCTCGTGACTATCATTGGAAAGTCGACCTCAGAATACTTACCTGGGAGAAGATCTTCATCCTGAGGACAAATACACAGTACGTTTTCTAATTCTGCATTCCCTCATACATTGACCGACCATCTTCATGGACTGAACACTAGGCCCCAAACAGCAAAGGTGGACTTAGCGCCTTAAATTACGAACACTATGGTCAGAAATGTATTTTTTAGGTGACTTTGGTCTCCGCATGGAGAACGGACGGAGGACAAAAGTTAGGAGGATCTCACAGCCATCCAGGAAGAAGGTCCAGGGAAGAAGTCATGGGGAGCCTGAACTGGGGCAGCCGCCACGGGGATGGACACTGAGAGGTGGGGACGCACTGAGAGGTGCTGGGGAAGTAGAACCTAACAGACTTTTCCAAAACCCAGACTGAGACAGATTAGGGAGGGTCAGGAAACCACTGTGGGGGGGGGGGCGGGGGGGGAACCAGCATTTAGGGGATCAAATAGGATACAAGAGCAAATATCACAAAGCACCCCACACTGTGAGGGCGAGCACCAGCTTGTGGTACTACTACTTTTTCTGTGAGAGGAGAGCACGGTGGGGGGAAAGGGCCGGCACTCTGGAGCCGGGGAATGGGCTTCCGATCCCAGCTCCACCACGTGTCTGCTGTGAGGCGCTGGAAGTCACTCACCTCCCCGGGCCAAGCGTTCCTCGTCTGCACAGTAGAGAAAGTGATAGCACCTCACGGGGTTGTGAGGATTCCTGAGGAAATACATACACGGGAGACTCTCCCAGCAGGACCTGCCCTAGTAAGCGCCGTGGCTGTGCCTTTATGACTTATGACACGGGACACAGACGTGGGGCCTGAGGTACACACACACCGTGAATCGACAGACCGCAAAGATTCCCCTGAACAAGCACAAGGCCCTGTGTAGAGAACAGGGAAGGAACCCGGACTTGCAGGAGCTGCAGTCCTATTGTCCTGGTTCTGCCACTAACCAGACCCGTCGCCTTTCCCGTCAATGAGCGTAGTTACATACACCTGTTCTTGCCCCCTAACAGAGCAGGTGAGGGACCAAATCAGGGAACAGCTACAAAAGGCCTTTGTTTCATATCACCATCACCCAGCCTTGCACATCCTCAAACCGTACCGAGGACACTGTCATGACGACCATAAAATCATCGTTATCAGACATGGATGGAACTGGAGGGTGTTATGCTGAGCGAAATCAGTCAATCAGAGAAAGACATGTATCGTATGACCTCACTGATACGAAGAATTCTTAATCTCAGGAAACAAACTCAGGGTTGCTGGAGTGGTGGGGGGTGGGAGGGATGGGGTGGCTGGGTGATAAGGCATTGGGGAGGGTATGTGCTATGGTGAGCGCTGTGAATTGTGTAAGACTGTTGCATCACAGATCTGTACGTCTGAAAGAAATAATACATTATATGTTAAAAAAAAAAAGAAGATAGCAGGAGGGGAAGAATGAAGGTGGGGAAATGGGAGGGGGAGATGAACCATGAGAGACTATGGACTCTGAAAAACAAACTGAGGGTTCTAGAGGAGAGCGAGGTGAGAGGATGGTGTAGCCTGGTGATGGATATTGGGGAAGGCACGTTCTGCACGGAGCACTGGGTGTGATGCACAAACAATGAATCACGGAACGCTACATCAAAAACTAATGGTGTAATGAATGGTGAGTAACATAACATAATAAAAAAGGAAACCTCTTCCTTATCGTCAATATGGCAGATGCAGGGGCTCTGGGTCTCACAATTCCACTGGCAGGGCTCTTCCACACGTGCTGAGGACATGTCTACAAGGACTTTTTTTTATCATAACCCCTGTTGCAACAGCAAAGGATGGGAAGCCAGGCACCTATCCTTCAGCGAGGCCCTGGGGACATCACGTATGTGGCTGAGGGTGGCAGCAGGTGCAAGCAGCTGGGGACAGGGGCGCGAGACAGGCAGTCACTGCATTCCTTCTGAATATATTTTTAACATTTTTGAACCAGGCGGGCACCTTCACGAATGAAACAATTCGGGAAAGAAGAAGGGGAATTTTCATTTACCTTTAATCTCCAGAAGGTGGTATCTACCCCAGCCCCAAGATTTAGAATTTGATAATGACATTCTGTCTTCCGTAGAAATGCCTTCAGCAGCTGGCTGATGCCATGGACTCGAGCAAAATATCCCGAGAGACAGAGACAAGCTATCGCTCAGTCAGGTTGGAAATCATCCCTGCAGAGCCCAGCCCAGGAGAAGAGCCAATGAGGACTCTTCTGCTCTTCTTTGGGGTCAGCGGTTTATCTGTGGACTTCATGGGAGAAAGAGTGACTTTCACATTCTCTTGTTTTTTGTTTTCGGTTATGTTAATCACCATATAGTGCTTCAGTAGTTTTTGATACAGCGTTCCATGATTCATGATTTGCGTGTAACACCCAGTTTTTTTTTTTTAAAAAGCTGTTTGAACTCAAGTAAGTACAATCTACTTGATGGTGGAATTAACCATCTTAAAAAAAAAAAAAGTCCCATAATTTTACATAAGAAAGACAAGGGTTTTACATGAAAAATCAGATCTAAATGTTCCTCTTGGAAATGTACTTTCTCTTGGTTAGGTGTAAGCCTCTCAAGACTCTGTGAAAACTCAACAATGCGAGATCATGACGAAAATAAGATTCTGGGGTCAGGAAATGGGGCAGATAAATGTCAAAGCAAAAAAAAAAAAAAAAAAAGAAAAGAAAAGCCGTATTTCCACCACGTTCCCTTCCTCTCCATCCTGTGTGGGTAAGAGCCCCTGTTTATAAAGTGGCCTCATAGACCGTCTGCGGGAGGGGAAGGCATGAGCAAACGTTGCCGAATAAATGGACTGGTTCAGCTGTGGGTTGGGGAGCTGGAGTGAAGGCGATGAGGAATAAAAGGGGGGAAAATGGAAAACAGTATCTGTTCTAAGTGGGGGAAATGGAAGATAATATCTGTTCTAAAGCCCTGTTGCTTAAAGTATAACTACTTTAAGAACAAAATTTCAGTAGCATTTAGAAACTTACTGCAATGTGACATAGGAATTCTACGTCTATTGATTCTCCTCATAAATAACTTGAGCTTCTATTTGATGTGTCTCTTGCATTTTATCTTTCTAGGAAATCATTTTTCATGTATGTTATAGAATATCGTCCACAACAGAGAGATTATTGGAACAAAACTTTAAAGATGCTCACCACATGTTGCCTGGGAAGCCCTCTCCTAGGGGGTCCGGTCTGGAGATGCCAGCCCATGCAGAGGAAGAAGGAAGGAAGGCCGGCTGACACCCTGCCTGGGGCGTCTAGCTCCCAGGGCCCCAACTTGGGTTCCCACCTCTGTAGCCCTGGTTAGGAAAGCTGCCTCAGGAGCCTGGGAGAGAGGATTTCAGGCCTCTTAGCCAGGCCTGGCCCCATCTCCCTGATGCCTGGGTTCACCCTCAGCTCCAAGTAAGGTCCATGTCCTTATTCTCAGGAACCACCACTTTGCACTTTCTTTCCATTTCTTACAGAATCTACCCATAGGCTCCATCTTTAGGGTGAGGATTCCCTGCATGCCCAAGGACTGTGGTCATTTGGTCACTTTCTCAATCTGACTAAGTCACCCTCCCATCTCAAATCCCTTCACTGCCTTGATAGAAAGGACTTCAGAGCCTAACAGTGTTACTATCATTTTACTAAGGTCAAGAAAGGAATTCCTTACTTGACCAGACAGTTCACTGTAAAAGATAATATAAATGGCTCTTAAACATATAAAAACGATCTTCAACTTCACCCCCCAAAATAAGAGGAATATAAAATAAAATGACGGGGGCACCCGGGTGGCTCAGTCGTTAAGCCTCTGCCTTTGGCTCAGGTCATGATCCCAGGGTCCTGGGTTCGAGCCCCGCTTCGGGCTCCCTGCTCCTCGGGAAGCCTGCTTGTGTTCCATCTCTCACTGTGTCTCTCTCTGTCAAATAAAGAAAGAAAATCGGTAAAAAAAATTATACAGTAACATTACTGAAGACACCATCTTTCACATATCAGATTAACCACGATGAAAAGGTTTCTAATACACCGTGCTGGTGAGGATGTTGGGAAATGAGCACTTCCATTCGCCACTGGAGAGAATGAACACTGGAACTCCCTCTTTTGAAGAGTGAATCCCTAAAAGCTCATCTACCTCAAAAGGCCAACAGAGGCACGTCTGGTACTCCATTACAAATGTCGGCAGACTCAGCCATCCGTCTTGGTGCTCGCACACATGGCCCGTCACCGTCCCCACGGCAGCCATTTCTTCCCTTTCTTTACTCGTGCGCCTACCTCCTTCCCCAAGACCCTAGACAGCACAGAACCTCACCTCATCCCTCACCTAGAAAACCTGCCACCACTTATTCCCTCAGCAAACCCACGGGTGAGAGCCAGTCAGAGAACTCTGCTCGACCGGAAGTTCTGTGTCCATAGGAAAGGAGATCCAGGATCGTTCCGGAAAACTCACGAACGACTACCTAAGTATTTCCCCCGGCTCTCGATTAGGAACCGGTCCTTCCACACCCTTTAAGCAAGTCCTAGTGGGAAAACCAGGAACAAAGAAACACAACAGCCACAACCTAGAAAATGTTATAGTAGCCTTCACTTTCTGGTCTACACTATAACCTGGAAAATGCTATGGTAGCCTAAACTCTCCCCGGTCTACACTACAAGGAACCAAACTTTCAGTGTTCTAAACCAGGGAGCTGAAGCCCAGATTACCACTGAAGGGCTTCTGACAACCGTTGAGGGAACCAGCCTTAGGACAAGGAGAAGTACTGGAAGGACACTGCATCCCTAAAACCATGCGAAGCCCCTGTGGGCCTATAGCCTGCTCTGCCCCTCATCGGATAATGTGAATTAATAAATGCCCCTCATGTGAATTAATAAATGTCTTTACCATTTCAACCAAATGGAGGGGCAGCTGGGTGGCTCAGTCAGTTGAACGGCCAACTCTTGGTTTAGGCTCAGCTCAATTGTGTCCATATCAATTAGATCTATGGCAGAGAGTACATCCTCCGGTTCTTTCTTTTGTTGTGAATTCCTCCTTCTATTCCTTTTGCCCAGAGAAGAATGGAGGAACAAGAGAGCAACATAAAAAATATCAACCACGACGCAAGCAAATACACACTAGTCAAATCCGAAGAGGTCAGAAACCAAAAAAGAGAAGAAAAAAGAAATGTGGGGGGTGGCTGGGGGGTGGGAGAAGAGAGAATATTATCTCCCAGGTGGTCAAACCTCCATGAAATCCTGGGTGTATTTTGGCCTGTTTGTTAAAAGACACTAAATCCCAGAAGTGTAAAATCACCAAGGTTACATATATACAGACATAAAATTGAATGTAGCAGAAGGAAGCAAAACTGAAGACTATCTCTAAAAAATGGAAATGTAGAAAATGACAATCAAAAACGACTTAAAATGAAAGAGTTGATAAAATAAGAAACTAGTTGGGAAGAAAAAAAGAAAAGGAAAATTTTAAACTGCAAGATAAACGAATCATGAAATAACCTTTGAATTCAATTTACTGTTTTCCCCTAGTGCTGGAGTTTTGCACTCCTGTGGGCTCCTAAACTTCTTCCCCTGTTCTTCCAGCTGCTTTGCTCGGGGAGTGGCCTGCTGTGCTGACCCTCAGGTGTCTTGGCCTGGGGGGAGTTGTACCGCCCCTTGCGGGGGGGGGGGGGGGGGGGGCGGGCTCAGTGTAAACTGCTTGTAGTTGCTCTATGTGATTCTATTCCCCGAAGGCTCTCTGGGCCACTTGAGAGGATGAAAAGAAAAATGGCCACGCCCCGATTTCCAGGCCCGGAGCGAAAAGATCGAGGTCCCCTCTCTTCAGTAAACTGTCAGGGATAAGCGGTCTTCAGTTTTGTGTGTGCCAAAGTCTGCAGGCTCCTGTGGTGAGGGCCTGCACCGATCCTCCTGGGAGAAGGCAGAGGGGCGCCGCCTTGTCTGCCCTGTGCAGGACCCGCATACAATAGCTGTCACCCAGATGAGCCGTGGTTCGTGGTTTATGGCAAACTGAGTTGAGAACCCCCCCTGCTCCCTGACCCTAACCAGTTTCCCCACTCCAGTGCCTGGGAACTCTGCCGGCTCAAGCACCCCTGTTCTTCCTGTGACCCCAGGGATCCTGAGGTCACACTGTCCCACCTTGGATGCTGCCCCACCTTGCCACCAGAGCACCTTTCAGGCAGGGCTATCTCTTAGCGGAGAAGATTTCTAAAGGTTCTGATTTTGCGCTCTGGGGCTGTATCACTTGCCTGTGGCCGGCTTACACAGGCTCCCTCTCCCCGCAGAGGATCTTCCCATATATCCCCGCAGATTCACTTCTCCGCACCTCTTACTTTGCAAAAAGTGGTCACTTGTCTATTAGTAGAATTCCAGCAATTCCTTCCTTACATCTCAGGTTGAATTCAGAGGTGTCCAGGATGATTTGATAGTTATCTAGCTACATTCAAGGGACCAGATGAAACGAGCTCCCCTACCGTGCCACCATCTTGCCTCCCTCCTTCGATCTCTTCCTTTTGTTTTGAAAGATTTATTTATTTTAGAGAGTGAGCGGGGGGAGGGGCAGAGGGAAAGAAAAATCCTGAAGCAAGCAGACTCCCCGCTGAGGAGTTACTGCAGGCCCTGAGGAGAAAGAGAGAGAGAGAAAGAGGGACAGAAGGTATATATGAACAAATCATAGCTGAGAACTTTCCTAATCTGGGGAAGGATACAGGCATACAAGTTCAAGAGGTAGAGAGAACCCGTTTCCAAATCAATAAAAATATATCAGCACCCTGACATACAGTAGCGAAGCTTGCAAATTTCAGAAATAAAGAGAAAATCCGGAAAGCATCTCAAGACAAGAGGTTCCTGACCTAGACGGGTAGGAACATTAGGCTGGCAGCAGACCTATCCACAGAGATCTGGGAGGCCAGAAAGGGCTGACATCATCTATTCAGGGTACTAAATGAGAAAAACATACAGCCAAGAATACTTTCTCCAGCAAGGCTGTCATTCAGAATGGAAGGAGAGCTAAAGGGCTTCCTGGACAAATAGAAACTGAAAGACTATGGGACCACTAAACGAGCCCTGCAAGAAATACTAAAGGGGGGGACGCTTGGGTGGCTCAGTCGGCTAAGCATCTGCCTTCAGATCAGGTCATGATCCCAGGGTCCTGGGATCGAGCCCCGCACTGGGCTCCCTGCTCCGCGGGAAGCCTGCTTCTTCCTCTCCTACTCCCCCTGCTTGTGTTCCCTCTCTCGCTGTGTCTCTCTCTGTCAAATAAATAAAATCTTAAAAAAAAAAAAAAGAAAGAAAGAAATACTAAAAGGGATCCTCTATGCCAAGAGAGAGCCCAAAAGTAACACTGGACCAGAAAGAAAAAGATCTACAGAAACAGGGACTATACAGGTAATACAACGGTACTAAACTCATCTCTCTCAATAGTTACTCGGAATCTAAATGGGCTAAATGCTCCAATCAAAAGACACAGGGTAGGGGCGCCTGGGGGGCTCAGATGGTTAAGCGTCTGGCTTCGGCTCAGGTCATGATCCCAGGGTCCTGGGATCGAGCCCCGCATCGGGCTCCTGGCTCAGCGGGGAGCCTGCTTCTCCCCCTCTCCCTCTGCCTCTCTCCCTGCTCATGCTCTCTCTCGCTCTCTCTCTCTCTCCCTGTATCTCTGTGTCTCAAATGAATAAATAAAATCTTCAAAAAAAAAAGTCATCATTTAAAAAAAAAAAAAAGACACAGGGTATCCGACTGCATAAAAAAGCAAGACCCATCCATATGCTATCTACAAGAGACTCATTGTAGAACTAAAGACACCTCCAGATCGAAAGTGAGGGGGTAGAGATCCATTGATCACGCGAATGGACCTCAAAAGAAAGCTGGGGTAGCAATCCTCCTATCAGACAAATTAGATTTTAAACCAAAGACTGTATTAGGGGATGAAGAAGGATGCTATATCATACTTCAAGGGCCTACCCAACGAGAAGATCTAACAATTATAAATATATATGCTCCTAACTTGAGCAGCCAATTACATAAACCAATTAAGAACCAAATGAAGGAAACACGACGAGAATCATACAATAACTGTAGGGGACTTCAACACCCCACTCCCAGCAATGCACAGATCATCTAAGCAGATGATCAACAAGGAAACAAGGGCTCTGAATGACACACTGGACCAGATGGACTTCACAGGTACATCACAGCATGCCATCCTAAAGCAACAGAATACACATTCTTCTACAGGGCACATGGAACATTCTCCAGAAGAGATCCCATACCGGGGCACAAATCAGGTCTCAACCGATACCAAAAGATTGGGATTATTCCCTGCCTCTTTTCAGACCACTATGCTTTGAAACAGGAACTCAGTCACAACAGGAAATAGGGAAGGAACTCAAACACTCGGAGGCTAAAGAGCATCCTACGAAAGAATGAATGCATCAACCAGGAAATCAAAGAAGAATTAAAGATTTCATGGAAATGAATGAAACTGAAAACACAGCCGTTCAAAACCTTTGGGATCCAGCAAAGGCGGTCCTAAGAGGAAAGTACATAGCAATACAAGCTTTCCTCAAAAAATCAGAAAGTCTCCAATACACAAGCTAACCTTACGCCCAAAGGAGCCGGAGAATGAACAGCAACTAAAGCCGAAACCAAGCAGGAGAAGAGAAATTATAGAGATTAGAGCAGAAAACAATGAAATAGAAACCAGAAGAACAGTAGAACAATCAATGAAACCAGGAGCCGGTTCTTTGAAATTATTAATAAGCTTGATGAACCTCAAGCCACACTTATCCAAAAGAAAGGGGAAAGGACCCAAAATAATAATGTCATGAATGAAAGAGGAGAGATCACAACCAACACCAAAGAAACACAAACCATCTTAAGAACACACACAGCAACTATAGGACAACAAATGAGGTCACCTGAAAGAAATGGATGCGTTCCTGGAAACTTGTAAGCCACCAAAACTGAATCAGGAAGAAATACAAAACCTGAACAGACCCATAACCAGCAAGGAAACTGAAGCAGTGATCAAAAAATCTACCAACACACAAGAGTCCAGGGCCACATGGCTTCCCAGGGGCATTCCACCAAACATTCAAAGAAAAACTAATACCTATTCTTCTGAGGCTGTTTCAAAAAACAGAAATGGAAGGAAAACTTCCAAACTTGTTCTCTAAGGCCAGCATGACCTTGATCCCAAAAACAGACAAAGACCCCATGGATGCAAAAATTCTCAGCACAATACTAGCGCATAGGATCCAACAGCACATTAAAAGGAGTATTCACCGTGACGAAGTGGGATTTATTCCTGGGCTCTAAGGGTGGTTCCACATTCGCAAATCAAATCAATGTGATACTTCACATTAATAAAAGAAAGGTCAAGATCCGTATGATCCTCTCAACGGATGCAGAAAAAGCACCGGACAAAATGCAGCATCCTTTCTTGATTAAAACTCTCCACAGTATAGGGGTAGAGGGGATATACCTCAATAACATAAAACCCATCTATGAAAAGCCCACAGCGAATATCATTCTCAATGGGGAAACACGGAGACCTTTTCCTCTAAGGTCAGGAACATGACAGGGAGGCCCACTCTCACCGCAGTTCTTCAACTAGAGAAGTCCTAGCCTCAGCAATCAGAAAACAACAAAAAAGAAATCAAAGGCATCCGACTGAGCAAAGAAGTCAAACTCTCACTCTTTGCAGATGACATGATACTTTATGTGGAAAACCCAAAACACCACCCCAAAATTGCTAGAACTCATACAAGAATTCAGCAGGATATAAAATCAATGCACAGAAATGAGTTGCATTTCCATACACTAACAATGAGACAGAAGAACGAGAAATGAAGGAATCGATCCCATTTACAAATGCACTGAAACCCATAAGATACCTAAGAATAAACCTAACCAAAGACGTAAAGGATCTGTACTCCAAAAACTACACAACACTTAGCAAAGAAATTGAGGAAGACACAAAGAAATGAAACAACGTTCCATGCTCATGGATTGGAAAAACACTGTTAAAATGTCTACACAGAGTAATCGAACCATTCGATGAGATCCCCATCAAAATACCATCAACTTTTTTCACAGACTGTAACAAATCATCCTAAAATGTGTATGGAACCAGAGAAGACCCCGAATGGCCAGAGGAATGTTGATAACGAAAACCAAAGCTAGTGGCATCACAATGCCAGACTTCAAGCTAGAGTACAAAGCTGTAATCATCAAGACAGTATGGTTCTGGCACAAAAACAGACACATGGATCAACGGAACAGAAGACAGAACCCAGAAATGGACCCTCAACTCTATGGTCAACTAATCTTCGACAAAGCAGGAAAGAATATCCAGTGGAAAAAGGACAGTCTCTTCAATAAATGGTACTGGGAAAACTGGACAGCCACATGTAGAAGAATAAAACGGGACCATTTTTTGGCACCATACACAAAGATAAACTCAAGATGGATGGAAGACCTTACTGTGAGACAGGAATCCATCAAAATCCTAGAGGAGAACACAGGCAGGAAGTTCTTCGACCTCAACCGCAGCGACTACTTGCTACATACATCTACAAAGGCGAGGGAGCAAAAGCAAAAATGAACTATTGCAACTTCATCAAGAGAAAAAGCTTCTGCACAGCAAAGGAAAAGGTCCGCAAAACTAAAAGGCAACCTACGGAATGGGAGAAGATATTTGCAAATGTCTTATCAGATGAATGGATAAAGAAGATGTGGTATATATATATATGTGTGTGTGTGTATGTGTGTGTATATATATACACATATATATATGTGTGTATATATACACACACATACACACAATGGACTATTACCCAGCCAACAGACAAGATGAATACTTACCATTTACATGCACACGGATGGAACTGGAGGGTATTATGCTGAGCGAAATAAGTCAATCCGAGAAAGTCAAATATCAAATGGTTTCACTCATATGTGCAATATAAGAAACAGGGCAGAGGACTGTAGGGGAAGGGAAGGAAAACAGAATGGGAAGTCATCAGCGATGGAGAAAAACCGTAAGAGACTCTTAACTCTAGCAAACAAACGGGAGGGTTGCTGGAGGGGTGGTGGGTGGGGGGATGGAGTAATTCGGTGATGGGCACTAAGGAGGGCATGTGATGTGATGAGCACTGGGTGTTATATGAAACTGACAAACTACTGAACACGACATCTGAATCTAATGATGTACTGTAAGTTGGCTAATTGAATTTACATTAAAAAAAGTAATAAATAAACCAAATGGAGTTGGTCTTCTGTTACACCCTGAAATGTCCTAAGTGGTATTCTGAGCGCATCAGTTCATTTCCATTTGCTTGATGAGTAAGCTGAAAGGGGTAGGGGGTGTGGGGGGGAGGGGAGGGGGTGTGTGTGTGGGGGGGTGTGCACGCTCGTGTGTGTGTGTGTATGTGTATGTGATGTCACCCAGCTGGGTTCTGAGCTCCCAGAAGCAGACAGATAATATATCTTCTCTTCATATCCACTGACAAGGCTTACCGCTGCCTGGACTACAGTAGGTGCTAATCCTGTACAAACACGCCCCCCGCCATCTCCCACGTCCATATTCCCACATCCACAGACACCCATAAGGAAGCACATACCTACTGCTGCTCAAGGCAGCAGCTCAACACAGAAACACACCAAGTACTCACTAAGGGACACAACTTGCTACAGCCCAGACTGTCAAGGAAAACTGACCCACAGAGTTTTACAAGGCTGAACAGGCTGCGTTGTCTAAAACAGTGCTTTTCAAACAGTGGATTGTGACCCATCCGTGTCATAAAATCAGTGTAATAGTTTGCAAATCCCCGTCTTAGAAAATGCAGTCAGCTAGAGTAAACTAGAAAAAATCAGTATGCGTTACATACTGTACGAGTTAAAGACTGTTTCTGTGAAGTTGTTGAAGTGTGTGTTTGGGGTATAAGTGCCATGAAAAATCTGTTCTCTACACCAACAAAAAAAATAGACCCTTAAACACCGAGAGCAAACTGATGGTTGCCAGACGGAAAGGGGGGGGGCGAAATTGGTCAAAGGAATTCAGAGTTACAAGCTTCCACTTATATAAATAACTCACAAAGATGAAAAGTACAACATCCGGAATATAGTCCAAGAATATTGTCATAACAACTGTACCGTGACAGATGGTGACTATACTTAATCGTGGTGAGTGCTGAGTAATGAACAAACTTGTCGAATCACGATGCTGCACACCTGAAACTGACATAACATTGTACAGATCAACGAAACTTCCATAATGAAAAGAGAAAAAACTGTGTTCTCACTGTGGGTGGTTGGATGAGCACTGTCCTCACAGCCTTCATCTGGTGCCATCCAGTGGTAAAAGCCCTATCTGCAGTCGAGAAAGAACCACAGACCCGGGAGAAGAGTCCGCAAACATGGATGTCTGGTTGGAAGGGGCCTTCCAAATGACCTGGTCGACCCTGACATGCAGGGCAAGCACCCTTCAACAACACCGAGCTACTGCCTGAGCACGCCCCACCACGGAGGCACTCGCTCCCCCGCTGAGCAGCTCTACCTGCTGAAAAGCTGACCAAGCCGCCTTCCTCTAGGAGCTCCTCCCTGTCCTTCCTACTGCCCTCTCCTGGATGACAAGGAGCAGCTTCTGTGCTCGCCCTCAGTTTAACACTCTTGATCCAGTCAAGCAATACTTGTTGAGTGTCTGCTAAGTGCCAGGCACTGGGGATACAGTGGGGAACCCGGGAAGACACAGCGACAGAGACACAGAGAAGTCAGAGCTTATGCCAGATGAAGGACAACAGCATGGGGGCAGGAAGCGCCTCGGAATGTTCCAGTAGCAGAAGGTATACAGGGAGGTTGAAGAACAGCAGAGAAACAGGTGAAAGCTCAGAGATTTCTGGGCTGTATGTGTTTTCATTTCTCTCTGTTTTATAATTTTTCTAAACTAACCATAGGCCATATTTCATTCTAAGACACCATCAATTGTAAGACTGAAAAAAGAAAAAAGAAACACTGCCAGTTAGTCCATGTCTTTCTTATTGCTTACAATTCTCATTTCATGTTTATGAAAAAGCCCTTTTAGACTTTTGGGACAGAACAAAAGGGAAAGGATGAGTGACATGAGTTGGTCAAGTCTTCCCTTTCAGGAGATCTGTGAGTTGCCACACAACACTGACCTTCGAGCCGCCAAGGGCACTGGCGAGGCTGAGTTTCTGAAGAGATCGCCATCACCGGCTCTGAGATTGCTTTCCAAGCTCCCGACCCTCCAGGTGTAGGCTGTGTTCCTCTGTCTTTCTTGATCTCGTCAGAAGGTCTCAACGGATGGTTCTGGAATAGCAATCGGGATTTGCGCTCCTTCTTCAAATGGCCCTTAAATGGTACGTGGACCGAAGCAGCCAGGGGCTGCAGGTGCAGCGGTCCAGCCACGCCACGAGGAAGACCGAGCACGTCCACGTGCACAGATAATGACAACTCCAACATGGTGCACAGTGACTGCAGGACACATCAAGAGTGAATCTGGGCGCCTGGGTGGCGCAGTCTGTTGGGCAACCGAGTCCTGGCTGAGGCTCAGGTTGTGATCTCAGAGTCTTGACATGGAGCCCCACGTCTGGCTCCGCACTGGGCGTGCAGCCTGCTTGGGATCTTTCTCTCTCCCCTCCCCTCCCCTCCCTACCACCGTTCACATGTGTTCTCGCTCTCAAAAAGTTAAACAAATAAATAGATAAAATAAAACCCAAAGAATGAAAGATCTCTTTATTTATTTTTTCTTTATTGTGCTATGCTGGTCACCATACAGTACATCGGTTAGTTTTTCATGTAGTTGTTCCATGATTCATTGTTTGCGTATAACACCCAGGGCTCCATGCAATACGTGCCCTCCTTAATACCCATCACCGGGCTAACGCATCGCCCCACATCCCTCCCCTCTAACACCCTCTGTTTGCTTCTCAGAGTCCATAGTCTCTCATGGTTAGTCTCCCCCTCCGATCTCGCCCCCTTCATTTTTCCCTTCCTTCTCCTAAAGTCGTCCACGCAATTCCTTATGTTCCACAAGTAAGTAAAACCATATGATAAGTGACTTTCTCTGCTTGACTTAAGATGTCATATTTAGGGGCGCCTGGGTGGCTTAGTCGTTAAGTGTCTGCCTTCGACTCAGGTCATGATCCCAGGGTCCTGGGATCGAGGCCCGCGTCGGGCTCCCCGCTCAGCGGGAAGCCTGCTTCTCCCTCTCCCACTCCCCCTGCTTGTGTTCCCGCTCTCACTGTCTCTGTCAAAATAAAGAAATAAAATCTTTAAAGAAGGAAAAAAAAGATCCCATATTTAGAAAGACCTTTTCTCAGGGTTTATTCAATCCAGTGTTCCCTGCAATTTTCACTTCTTTTTAGTACCCAGGTCTGACGTGCTACCTAATATTTTCTTCTAACACACCCTGTAATAAATACCTATTAAAATGTAAAACTTCTATCTGGGTGCCACCTCAAGTCATCTCCCATTCCTCCCGTGGGAAACACTGATCTGCTGCAGCCACCAGTTCATTCAAGAAGCACTGACTGACTTGGCCCCTTCGGCAGGAGCGTCCCCTGCAACGGTGGGAACTTGCTAGGAAAGGTGTGACATGCCCTCCACCGGATATTTCTCCATCAGAGGGAATGGGAAGGGGCCCTCCCCGCTCTTCCAGCCAGTGAGGGTCCAGGCTGGGGCTGCTTCATTTCACTTCTCATCAACACTCATGAGTGCTGGCTACAATGCCAGGCATTATTCCACACGCTGGACAAACAGGAACACGTACAGCCCTCAGAAGCACCCTCTGTGGAAGGCACCGCTTACAGACAGAGGTCGAGGTTGTTTCCTCAAGCTGTGCAACCTCGGAGGAAACTTAATTCCATTGCTTTGCAAACCTACTTACCCACTTGGACTTCCATCCCTCCCCCAACACTTCAGTTGCTGATATGGTGTCGGTGTGTATGTGTGTCTGCTTCTGTAGGGATACACAGTGCATGTAGATAGATAGATAGATAGATAGATAGATAGATAGATAGATAGATAGATAGATATGCGGTGCCCTGTATGTACATATATATGTACCTACAATGTATATATCTGCAATTGCAAGACTCAATCCAATACTCTCAGCATCGGTTTTCAAGTTGGGAATTTTAACTGCATGCTGCATACGGGCCTTGAAGATATGCTCTACCTCTCATTTTTAATTTTATTGTTGTTCTTTTACGTCCTTTAGTCTCAGTTTTGGGTTCCTATTTCCTGTTGCGTTTATTCTTGCTTATAAATGGAAGGCAGGAAGCAAAGTCTTACGCGCAACAGACTTTGTACCTACACAGACTTTGAGTTTGTTTCCCTTCTTGTGAGCGCTGTTGCTTTCCTCAGCAGATCCGCAAGGCCTTAAGTGTTTAATCACCTAAGAAAAACAAAACAAAAACAAAAGACAAAAAAACACGAAAAACAGGGGTGCCTAGGCGGCTCAGGCGTTTAAGTGTCTGACGCTTGATTCGGCTCAGGTCATGACCTCAGGTTCCTGAGATCGAACCCCGTGTTCAGGCTCCACGCTCAGTGCAGATTCTGCTTGTCCCTCTCCCCCTGCCCCCCTCCACTCTGTCTCGCTCTCTCAAATAAATAAATAAATAAATAAATAAATAAATAAATAAATAAATAAAATCTTAAAACAAAAAAACAAAAAACAACACTGGGCCTCAATTGACTAAGACTCACAGGCTATCATTTCCCCCCAAAGGAAGCTACTGCTATTGCTTTCTGGCTTCATCGAA